ATGTCCCCGCTGTCCCCAGGGCTGGACGGGCTGATGGAGCGCTGTGCGCAGTACAAGAAGGACGGCGCCGACTTTGCCAAGTGGCGCTGCGTGCTGAAGATCTCGGCGCACACGCCCACGCGCCTGGCGGTCATGGAGAACGCCAACGTGCTGGCGCGCTACGCCAGCATCTGCCAGCAGGTCAGCCCCGATGTCCCCTGATGTCCCCAGATGTCCCCAGCCTGGCCCCGCGGCCTGGGGACGGAGCTGAGCGGAGGTGGCACCGAAAGGTGGCATCTGGAGGGGGTTTGGTGGCATCTCAAGGGGGTTTGGTGGCACCACAAAGGGTTTGGTGGCATCTGGAAAGGTTTAGTAGCAGCTAGACTGGGTTTGGTGGCATCTGGGAGGGTTCGGTGGCACCACAAAGCGTTTAGTGACATCTAAACAGGGTTTGGTGTCAGCTAGATTGGGTTTGGTGGCATCTGGAGGGGGTTTGGTGGAATCTGGAGGGAGTTTGGTGGCACCTAGAGAGGGTTTGGTGGAATCTGGAAGGGGTTTGGTGGAATCTGGAGGGGGTTTGGTGGCATCTGGAGAGGGGTTTGGTGGCACCTGGAAGGGTTTGGTGGCATCTGGAAAGGTTTAGTAGCAGCTAGACTGGGTTTGGTGGCACCTGGAAGGGTTCGGTGGCACCACAAAGGGTTTGGTGGCATCTAAACAGGGTTTGGTGGCATCTGGAGGGGGTTTGGTGGAATCTGGAGAGGGTTTGGTGAAATCTGGAGAGGGTTTGGTGGCATCTGGAAAGGTTTGGTGACATCTAGACTGAGTTTGGTGGCACCTGGAAGGGTTCGGTGGCACCACAAAGGGTTTGGTGGCATCTAAGCAGGGTTTGGTGGCATCTGGAGGGGGTTTGGTGGTATCTGGAAAAGTTTAGTAGCAGCTAGATTGGGTTTGGTGGCATCTGGAAGGGGTTTGGTGGAATCTGGAGGGGGTTTGGTGGCATCTGGAGAGGGTTTGGTGGCATCTGGAGAGAGTTTAGTGGCATCTGGAAAGGAGTTTGGTGGCATCTGGAGAGGAGTTTGGTGACATCTGGAGAGGGTTTGGTGGCATCTAGAAAGGTTTAGTAGCAGCTAGACTGGGTTTGGTGGCACCTGGAAGGGTTCGGTGGCACCACAAAGCGTTTGGTGACATCTAAACAGGCTTTGGTGGCACCTGCAGAGGGTTTGGTGGCATCTGGAGGGGGTTTGGTGGCACTTGGAGAGGATTTGATGCCACCTGCAGGGGGTTTGGTGGCATCTAGAAAAGGTTTGGTGGCACCTGGACAAGGCTTGGTGTCATCTAAACAGGGTTTGGTGGCATCTGGAGAGGGTTTGGTGGCACTTGGAGAGGATTTGATGCCACCTGGAGGGGGTCTGGTGGTGTCTGCGTGGCTTTGGTGGCACTTAGGGATGCTTTGGTGGCACCTGCAGGGGGTTTGGTGGCACCTGCAGGGAGTTTGGTGGCATCTGGAGAGGGTTTGGTGGCATCTAAACTGGGTTTGCTGGCACTTAGACCAGGTGTGGTGGCACTCAGGGATGCTTTGGTGGCACCTGGAAGGATCTGGTGGCACCTCATTGCCCTTGGCTTCCCCGTCCCCTCGGTGTCCCCTGGCTGTCCCTGACGTGTCCCCTCGTGTCCCCTCGTGTCCCCAGAACGGCATCGTGCCCATCGTGGAGCCCGAGATCCTCCCGGACGGTGACCACGACCTCAAGACCTGCCAGTACGTCACCGAGAAGGTCCGTGCCACCCC